AGTACTGTTATTTCTGGTTTTGATCTGTATGGGTTTGTAGATCAAAACCGGAAATAACAGTACTCACAATAACGGACAAGACAGTATAGATAGCAAGCGGAGTAGAATAACATCGCTTCATCGGAGGCTCCACTGATGGTGTCGCCTAGCATGGTGATGAAACGTCTGAACAAAAACAAGCCAGCTCAGCGAGCTAGTCATCCACAACCTGAGCTACAGATCTTTGCTAAAACTTTAAATTGGATAAGGATTTTTGATTCAAATATATTTAGCTGTTAAATATTACATTTTTTTTTGTGACCAAAATATTTTTGATATGGGGACCACAGACAGAATTGCTCCCTATTTCCATTGCTGTGCACATTGGTCTCAGAACTATTAGATTATATGATGCAGTAACAGAATGGACAAATTGGAATTGGGTTACTCTTAGTAATACATCAATATAGACTAATTGGAAATACGTTCCCAATTTCATTTAGTCTCAAATGTATACCAAAACAGTGATGACTTAACTTTAAAGGAAGAGTGTCAATGAGGCAAGCAATGTATGTATTGGAAAATTAAATGAATTGGATGACAGAAGGAACAATATTCCTGGTTGCAGGAATAGGTAGTCATAACAGTTGGAAGGTCCTGCAGGAAACAGTATATTCCACATGAATTAAATGATTTAATCAAATATATAGTATAAGTCTCAGTTTAATAAGGGGATTAGAGAGATTTAGGTCCAATCTTTTTAAAAATTCCTGTTTACACCAAAGGGTACTCGGGAAATTTAAGCAAGTGGCTAAATATTAATGGGAGGATATTATTCAAGCAAACTTTTATAAAAGCTGGTATGAGGTCTGCATTATATAACACAATTACCAGTTAGTTGTCAGAAACGCGAGGCAGACAAAAGGAATAGGAATCGTGTGTACTAAGATTGTGAGGGCAATATGCTGGTTCCTGGCAAACATATGGAGGATGTTCCTGGTGACTGAGGAGTCCACAACCAGGGGATCACCGTCTAAGGATATGGGGTAGGCCATTCTGGACTGAGATGAGGAGAAATTTCTTCAGCAGTGAACCTGTGAAATTCCCTGTCTCCGAAAATAGTTGAAACCAAAACATTGAATGTTTTCAAGAAGTTGGATTTGGTTCTTTGGACTGAAGAGTTCAAAGGACATGGGGAGAAAGCAGGAATAGGGTACTGAGTTGGATGATCAGCCATGATCATTAGAATGTGGTGGAGCAGACTCAAAGGGCTGAATGCCTACTCCTGCTCTACTTGCTATGTTTCATTGTTACTGGTTTGAATGCAGAACTAAAGTGAAGATCATATTTTAAAGCTTCCACCACTTTTCGAAGCTTCCAGATGGAGAAAGGCTATGAATTTTCCCCAATTAGGAAACAGCAATATCTGAGATTCATGTAGAATATTTAGGGAAGAGACCTTCAAGGCAGCAACTTATGATAAGTTTTGAGCAAATAAATATCCAGTGTTCAATTTTAATCAGGAATTATAAAGGACAGTACATGAATTTTAATATCCAGAGTGGATTGAACTGTATCTTAAAGTAGTTCACATCCAGACATCCAAATGATATCAAAACAAAAGGTTGGAGGTACTGGATCCTACAAAGCCTATGGGCCCTGACCACATTCCAGCAATAGCAGTGAAGACATGCTCCAGAACTTGCCACACTTAGCCAATGTCTTATCGTTCAGCTACAATACCAGCACCAGCAGGTTTGTTCCGTACAAATCCAAACTGGCCAATTACTGCCCCATCAGTCTACTTTTGACCATCAGTAAAGTGATAGAAGAGGCATCAACAGTGCTATCAAGCATCACTTGCTCAGCAACAACCTACTCAGTGATGCCTAGCTTGGGTTCCCACCAGGTCCACTCAGCTCCTGACATCATTACAGCCTTATTTCAAACATGGACAAAAAGAGGTTAATTCCAGAGGTCAGGTGAGTGTGACTGCCCTTGACATCAAGGCTGCATTTGACAAGTGCGGCATCAAGCAGTCCTAGCAAAACTGGAGTCAATGGGAATCAGGGGGAAAACTCTCTGATGGTTGGCGTCATACCTGTCACTTTGGATGATGGTTGCAATTGTTGGAGGTCCTTCATCTCAGCTCCAAAATATCTCTGCAGGAGTTCCTCAGGGTAGTATCCTACGCCAAACCATCTGCAGCTGCTATATCAGTGACCTTCCCTCCAACTTAAGGTGGTTAGAAGTGGGAATATTTGCTGCTGACTGCACAATGTTGAGCATCATTCATGACTCTTCAGATAATGAAGGAGTCCATGTCCGAATGGACAAGATGTGGACAGTAGCTTGGGCTGAAAAGTTGCAAGTAATATTTGCACCACACAAATGCCAGGAATAATTATTTTCAGAACGAGAAAATCTAACTACCACCTCTTGATATTCATAGAGTCATGGGGTACACAGCATGGAAACAGGCCCTTCAGCTCACATCTATGCTGACCCGGTTTCCGAAACTGAACTAGTCCCATTTGCCTACATTTGGCGCATATCCCTCTACAGCTTTCCTATCCATGTACCTGTCTAAATGTCTTTTAAATGTTTTAATTGTACCTGTGCCTACGACTTCCTCTGGTATCTTGTACTATTTATGCACCACCCCCAGTATGAAAATGTTGTCCCTCAGGTCCTTTTTAAATCTTTCCCCTCTCACCTTAAACCTATGCCCTCTAGTTTTGGACTCCCCACCCCTGGGAAAAAGACCTTGGCTATTCATCTTATCTGTGCCTTGCATGATTTTATAAGCCACTATAAGGTTACCCTCAGCCTCTGATACTCTAAAGGTAAAAAGTACCAGCCTATCCTTATAACTCAAACCTTCCAGTCTTAGTAACTCCTTGTAAATCTTTTTTGCATCCTTTCCAATTTAATAACATCCTTACTATAGCAGGGCAACAAGAATTGCACACAGTACTCCTAATACGGCTGTACCAGTGTCTTGTACAGTTGTAACATGATATCCCAACACTTGTATTCAATGCTCTGACCAATGAAGCCAAGCAGCCAAACGCCTTCTTCACCACCCCGTGACACCACTTTTAGGGATCTATGTACCTGCACACCTAGGTCTCTCTGTTTGACAACATTCCCCATAGCCCTACAATTAACTGTCCTGACCTCATTTGTCTTACCAAAATGTAACACCTCACATTTATCTGCATGAAACCACATCTGCCATTGCTTGGCCCAGTGGCCCAACAGATCAAGATCCCCTTGTACTTTTAGATAACCTTCTTCACTGCCCATTTAACCACCAATTTTGGTGCTACCATCAATGGTATTACCATCACTGAATCTTCAGCAATCAACATCTAGGGTGTTACCACTGACCAGAAACTGAACCGGACTGGCCACGTAAATATAGTGGCTAGAAGAGCAGATCAGAGATTACGAATAGTGCATCAAGTAACTCATCTCAACTTCCCAAAGCCTGTCCACCAACTACAAGGCACGATTCAGGAAAGTGATGGAATACTCCCCCACTTGCCGGATGAGTGCAGCTCCAACAACACTCAAGCAGCTTGACACCAAGGACAAAGCCTTCCTGACTGACACCACATCCAAATATATTCACTCCCTCCAGTACCAGCAGCGCATACCATCCACAAGATGAGCTGCAGAAATTCAAAGATCCTCACACAGCAGTTTCCTAGTCCACAACCACTACCATCTTGAAGGACAAAGGCATCAGATACATGGGAACACTACCACCTGCAAGTTCCCCTTCAGGTCACTCACCATCCTGAATTGGAAATATACCACTCTGCCTTTGGGGGAAATTCCCTCCCAAACAGCATTGTGGCCTGGTACACAGTACATGGACTGTACCAATTCAATAAAACAGTTCACCACCACCTTCTCAAAGGCCATTAGGGGCAGGTAATAAATGCTGGCTCAGCCAACCATTCCCACCATTAGTGAATGAAAAAAATTATTCTCATTGTTTTATATAAAATGGGGTAGAGGCAGAAATCTGCAGAATGTGCTGCACACAGGACTGCTGTATTTACTGGACTAAAGCCAACAGATAAATGATTTTAAACACTAAGCTGGATAATTTTCTGATTTTTCTTGTTGAATGAGGACCAGAGTGGGAATGGGAACGGGAATGGGAATTCCATGGGACTTTATGATGAGGTTTTCATGAAAGTGCATCTGGATTTAACTGAGATGAACGTAATGTTCAGTATGGCCAGGTTTGTGATTGTCAGCAATGCTGTTTTATAAGCAGCGAGTTTTATAGGCAGTGAAGAATAACTTTTAAAAAGTATTTCAAATAAAGATCACTAAAAGCTTTGCAGATTGCACACTCAAAGAAATTCAAGGATATTATTATTTAACCAGGTTTTGAAGGTCAGTTGGCTCATAGGCTGTTGGAAACAAACTGAACTTTAATTTTTAATGTTATTAATGGGATTATTGCAATTCTGTAAACACTTTTAATGCTCAATGCATCCAAATTCTGGAAGAAATATCCATTCTATTTGGATGGACAATTGCCTGGATATACCAGGTACTGTTGAGAAACTAGCAGCCATTTGGAACATGCCACCAGACGTTATCATCCTATTCTTGTCTCCAGAGGTTACTCTCAGTTTGGAACATTCACGCTGCCAATCAATCAATCACTGCTGCTTTGCTGTTAATATCTGTATTCTGCCATGCAAGTGAGGGCTTTCACTATATGGTACAAGAGTGTCTGGGATGATTAGAAATAAATCCATGATGGAATTAATATGAACAATGGTGGAATATATTGCTGTGCTAAAGCTTTCAATTCTTGCTCAGGATTCAGATTATGAACGAGGCTACTTACATCTCCAGGCACACCCAGTTTTAAATCATGCAAATCATTCTTTCATATTTACATGTCATGTGCTTACCTGCCAAGTAACTGGCTAATTTCTAAGCATGTGAATGCAAAATGTTGATTTAAACCTATAAATTAAACCATAATATGAAAGAATTTATATAATTTTATTAATAATTGGTAGTATCCCAGTTATGTACACATTATTAAAAATGATGAAACCAGTGGCTTGGTACAGGAATGCCATTTGCACTGAATGAGCCGGGAATGTGAGATACTCAAGAGAGAGAAATGCTGCAAACATGTGGATGAACAAAAGAAGGAAACTTTTTCCAGATGATTAAATTTCAGCACGACACCGAAATTTGATTGTGGTTAGTTGGCTGAACTTGTTGAATCACATTTGAGAAGGCAGCTGGGATGGAGCTGATTGGCTCCCAACCATTGCATAATTGCAGCCATTCATGCCACAATTCATTCAAGATCAACAGACTGCTGCAGCAACTGTGATTTCATTCTGCCCTTCCTCTTCCTTTAGAGCTTGATCCAAATCGAGATAAAACATTGAATGAGGCATCATGGCACAGTGTTCTCTTAACTGTCTGCATCCATCATGAATAAACTGAGCACGCCCAGGAGTTCAGCTGCATTCTCAGGTGAGACATGGGAACAGTGCAATGTTGATACTGCATGGACACCATAATAAACAGAAAAAAATCAAATAGCCTCAACCCTTTACAACACATATACAAAATCTGAAAAACATAAAAATATTAATATCTCAGTGTTGCAGTGACTCTCAACATACTCCGAACAGCATGAAGCACGTAAACACATTCAAATAGGTTTTCTTTAGAGTGCTGTGCCTTACATAAGCAAGTTATTTGAAACAGAAAGTGCAAAAATGAATTTACTTAATGGCAATTAGTTAAAGCAGCGAATCATTTGACAATACCAGCACACACCCATCATTCTTGTGACCTTACTCCGCTGACTGGCTGCCAGTTTCCATAGATATCGTGTTCTGGGTTTACAGCAGCAAAACAGGGTAACAATAAGTTAATATCGGAGGTTAAATGAGCCCCACCCTCAAAACATGTATAAGTGTAATGTACTGGTGTTAGCGCTGCTGTGTTTCAAGCTCATTTAATATAATTTACAAACCAGAAGCCTCTTTTATCAGTTACTGACTCAGCACTTTGTTCCCCCACTCACCACACTGCCTTTTTTCTTGCTCTCCACCACAAAGGCCTACACCTCTCCATCTCTTCTCTGTGCCTCTTTAATTTCAAGATTTGAAATTATGGCTGCACAGTTTGGCTGGGGGGTAGTGTTTGGTCGGAGGCCAGGCTAGGAGAGATGGCTGACGTGAGGCTCAGCTGGAATGGATCTTTGCTGGGGGAGCCACTGTGCCAAGTCCATATTGCTATTCTGGATTTTAGTGCAGTCCGCAGGTTTGAAATGCTGTCATCAGTTAGACAGTTTTTGTTTTGTACGGGGTCTCTGAACATACAGCAGTGATTTTCTTTTGATTACATTTGGAAATATAACACAAAATGGAGTCACTTAATTACAGCCTGATGTAAAATAGCCCCTGATAACAGCTAGAAAAATAAAGTTCATCTTTGGTTTTGAGTCAAGTATTGAATGTATGCGCTCTCCCTGACTTCTCAATCAGAACCTGTTTCCCCAAGTGTTATATAAGCTTGTGTTCCCTTGAGCTGCAGGACCTGATGGTATCGTATCTAACAGGTAACTGCATCTGGACCTAGTACTTAGCAAACACCACATCCCAGACATTGAAATACTGTCAGCAGTGTAGTCCAGGCAGTGGAGCTACAACACACAGCAACGCTAATATCTGTTGTGCTTTTGCTAATGAAATTAAAAAAATCTTAATATCAACAAAATTTCAGATGCCTCACTGTAGCTCAGTACTTATACTATTCTGTGAGACATCAGAGTCTAACAGCAAGGATCAAGGGGAAAGAGATCTTATTCCCAGAAAACACACTTCGAGAAACAGGTTGCAGGCAGAGTTCAGGACCATGAATGACGTTGGCAGAAGCTGGAAATTTTGCAGCTTCCTCTGTCTCATGTGACTTTATGACTGGAAGTCATTAGATTTGGCACCTGGTCCAGGGTCACTAACAAAGCGTTGCATACGCTGACTGGGTGAACCATCTTCGTCATTAGTGGAATTTTTTGCAGAGAACACAATTCCTTTGTCCTCTCCAGGTACTGCATCCTTGTTCTGATTCTCAACAGACTCCTTGGAGAATGGAGAGGCCAGGTCAATGGTGATTGATGGCAAATCACTTGTAGGATCCCTGGGCTCAAAATATGTGGCATCTGAATGAAGAGAGAGGAATTGTTAGTACTGAGATGTCACATCTCAAAGCATTTTTTCATTCAGCTCTAGGAACTTCAGACATATTGTAAATGGAATTTATAATTTCTTTTTAAACTGCAACAACGTAGGGCCAACACCTTTTGTCTATCAACATCCTGGAGTGCAAATAGACCAGAAATGAACCAGACTACCCAAGTAAATTCTGTCACTACAAGAGCATGTCAGAAGCTAGGGATCCTGCAGTGGGTATCTCAGTTCCTGACTCACCAAAGCCTGTCTACCATCTACAAAGCATAAGTCAGGAAAGTGATAGAGTACTCACCACTTGCCTTCATGAGTGCAACTCCAACGTCACTCATGGTGCTTGACACCATCCAGAACAAAGCAGCCTTCCTGATTGGCACCACATCCAAATATAATCAGTCCCTACACCACTGACACTCAGTAGCAGCAGTGTGTACCAACCCCACAAGATGCACTTCAGAAATTCACCAGCACTTCGACAGCACCTTTCAACCCCATGACCATTGCCATCTCGAAGGACAAAGGCAAAAGATACACAGAACAGCACCAACTGCATGTTCTCCTCACCATACGGACTTGGAAATATATCCCTGTTTCTTCCGTGTCACTAGGTCAAAACTCTTGAATCTCCTCCCTAATGGAATTATGGGTCTCTCTGCACCAAATGGACTATGGCGGTTCAAGCAAGCAGCTCACCATCACCTTCTCAAGGGAAACTGGGAATGCGCAATAAAGGCTGGCCCAGCTGGCAATACCTATATACTACAAGAGAATTAAAATACAAATCTGTAATGGGCCTCAGGAGTACCAAGTTTCTACAGAAGGCAGGTCCGGTTGAGATGTCTCCCACAGTAACCTGGGATATAAGGGAGGAAATTGCAGAAGCGCTGACCCAAATTTTTAAATCATCCCTGGCTATAGGGGAGATGCTAGAGGACTGCAGGACAGCTAAAATGGCTTCACTTTACACGAGGATGGTAGATAGACCAGGGAACTATAGACCAGTGAGTCTAACATCAATGGTAGGGAAACTATTGGAGAAAATAGTGAGGGAGAAAATTAATCTCCATTTAGAGAGGCAAAGTTTGATCAGGGCTAGTCAGCATGGCTTTGTCAGAGGGAGGGCATGCCTAACAAATCTGGTGGAACTTTTTAGAGGAGTGATCAAGTGTTTGGATGAGGGTAGGGGAGTTGATGTATTTATATGAATTTCAGCAAGGCCTTTGACAATGTTCCACATAGGAAACTGATAAAGAAGGTCAAAGCTCATGGGATCCAGGGCAACTTGGCAAGTTGGATCCATAATTGGCTTAGTGACAGGAGACAGTGGATGGTAGTAGAAGTTTGTTTGTATGACTGGAGGCAAGTGTGCAGTGCTGGGTCCCTTATTGTTTCTGATATTCATAAATTAGGTAGATGAGAATGTTGGGAGTTGGGGGGTGAGGAGTGGACAGATGATGTGATTTTTACGGATAGCACAAAGATTGGGTGGCTGGTTGACATGGAGGGGGAAGGTGTTAGGTTACAGGAGGATGTCAAGGGTTGGTCAGATGGACAGATTAGTGGCAGATGGAATTTAACCCTGATAAATGTGAGCTCATGCACTGTGGAAGGAGGAACAAGACAAAGGAGTACTCAATGAATGGCAGCACAATAGGAAGCTCAGGAGAACAGGGGGATGTTAGGGTGTTTGTCATAAGGTCCCTGAAGGTGGCAGGACAGGTTAACAGAGCAGTTAAGACGACATACGGGATACTTGCCTTTATCAGTCATGGATCAGAAGAGCAGAAAGGTCACATTGGAGCTGTAGAGAACTTTGGTTATGCCACAACTAGAGTACTGTGCATAGTTCTGGTCACCATACTAAAGGAAGGGCGTGATGCCACTTAAGATGGTGCAGAGGAGATTCAGGATGTTGCGTGGGGTGGAACATTTCAGCTTGAAGAGAGGCTCAATAAGGTCAAATTATTTTCTTTGGAGCAGAGAAGATTGAAGGGGACCTCAGAGAAATTAAGGGAGGTGAACAAGGTGGATAGAAAGAAGCTGTTCACCTTATTTGAAGGGTCAATAACAAGGGGACATAACTTTAAGGTGAAAGGCAGGAGGTTTAGAGGGGAGGGTGGGGGTCTGAAACATACTGGCTGGGAGGGTGGCTGAGTCGGGAAACCTCAACCTATGAAGTGTACATGGATTAGAACGTGAAGTGTCATAACATTCAAGGCTATGGACCTAATGTAGATCACAGCATATTTTTGGTGGTTACGGGCTTGATTGGTCGAAGGGGGTCTTCTGTACTGTATGATTCTATGAGGCCAGTGTAACTTCTGGGGAAAATTTCAGTTGCTGAGATTCTAGCCTTGATTTAGTAGACTTGGGCAATTATGTTTATATATCGCTCAAGACCATAGCACAAAATCCAGGCTGATATTTCAAAACAGTAATAGGAGTGCTGGATTGCCAGAGGGACCACACTGAAGAAAAGCTGTGCTGGTGGAGGTGCCCTCTTTTGGATGTGACATTAAACTGGAGCTCTGTCTGCCCTCTTAGGTGGATGTAAAATATTTCACGGCACTATGAGAAAAGCAGAGGGGATTGCTCTGATGTTCTATTCTATATTTATTCTTTAAACAACACCACTAAACCAGTTTATTGAGTCACTTAACTCATTCCTGTTGAAGAATTTTGCTGTATGTAAATCGGCTGCTGCATTTGCCTAGTAGCACTATTCTGAAAACACTTAATTGGATGTAAAATAACATCTTGAGGATTGGAAAGGCATTATATAAATTTATTCTCTTTCTTAAGTCTCATTGGTGTTCCCTGCTCATTTAGGAAAGCCAGCTAGTTTGGTCAGAATATGCAGTGTACATTGCATGGACAGACATGAGTTTAAGTAGGTCTAGGAGATGCAAACCATGGCTTGGCCATTACTCAAAGTTTTCAAGCCAACAACGAAGCTGCAGGTTAACAATCCACAGGTCAGAGGGATTTGTTTTGGTATCTGGTGTTGAAATAAAAGCATGCAGGGAAAAGGGACTGGAACTTGTACATTTTGTGATTTGTTTCTTCCATTGTTTTATTCTTGAGCAGAAAGGAAGTCAATATTATCAACTTACCTCGAGATCAAGAGGTCAGTGATCCTCGTGACAAGATATGGTGGGGATCAGTGATCTGCACTGACCTAAGTTCAACAATGAAATTAACAAAATAATGTGGCACAAAGCAGGCTGGACTTGTTTCATTACCTGAATCAACTGGCTTCTGCCCAGGTGGGGAGCCACGGCCACCGGATGGAACCGTAAGGTAAGCAGACATCTGTAAAAATCACCCAAAGAGTAATTATTGTGAACACATGGGCATAGGTCACTGTCAAATCATAATAACAAAGGATGTCAAAAGAATATTATATATGGTAGACATATCCTACAAACCACCACACAGTTCCTCCAAATGAGCCATGTGTTAGCTAAACTGATCATCAGGACTTTGACTGTTGTCTGCAGTGAAACTAGCTCTCAAGTCCCACAGATTGGTATAATTTGCTCTTGCTAGGTAAACACTGCCAACATGGTGTAAAATATCTCAAAAACCACAAATTTGCTACGTAGATCCTGGTGTCCAAGATCTCCAACATTAAACTGCTGAAGGTAGAAAACTGGGCTGGAATTGCCAGTGGGTCTCTATAGGCTGGGCATTCATTGGAATGTATGATATTCAACCTAGTTCCCCAATTGGTATCACCAACTCTTAAACCTGCTTGATACTGCCCACTTTCCATCCAGTTCAGTACCATCCATTTTCCACCTGGTTCCCCTACCTTTTACTCAACTTCAGCCCCACTAACATACCACCCAGCTCTGACCATGCCCATTTCATCTAGTGCCAGTCCCATTCTCTGACTACCCAGGTGCAGCTTCGCCCACCTTCCCACAGTGTACAATATTGTTTTTTTCTATTCATTCGTGGGATGTGGAAGTCGCTGGCTGGCCAGCATTTCTTTCCCATCCCTGGTTGCCCTTGAAAAGGTGGTGGTGAGCTGCCTTCTTGAACTGCTGCAGTCCACCTGCTGTGGGTTGATCCACAATGCTGTTAGAGAGGGAATTCTAGGATTTTGACCCAGCGACAGTGAAGGAACAGCAATATATTTCCAAGTCAGGACGGTGAGTGACTTGGAGGGGAACTTGGAGGTGGTGGTGCTCCCATATGTCTGATGCCCTTGTCCTTCTAGATGGAACTGGTCGTGGGTTTGGAAGGTGCTGTCTGAGGATCTTTGGTGAATTTCTGCAGTGCACCTTGTAGACAGTACACACTGCTGCTACTGAGCATCGGTGGTGGAGGGAGTGGATGCTTGTGGATGTAGTGCCAATCAAGCAGGTTGCTGTGTCCTGGATGGTGTCAAGCTTCTTGAGTGTTGTTGGGGCTGTACTCATCAAGTGGGGAGTATTCCAACACACTTCTGACTTGTGCCTTGTAGATGGTAGACAGGCTTTGAGGAGTCAGGTGGTGAGTTTCTTGACCCAGTATGCCTAGCTCTGGCCTGCTCTGTAGCCACTGTGTTTGTGTGGTGAGTCCAGTTGAGTTTCTGGTCAATGATAGCCCTGAAGATTATTATGCCATACTTATAAGTAAAGCAGGAAGTGGTAACGTGTAGCATGTGAGCATGCTCCTGAAAGTCATTTATGGATCTGTTTTAGTCACCCGAGGTATAGGTAAAAAGTTTGTAGATTGTGACAGGGGAACTTTCTGAGAGAGCAAAACGTAGGCTGTGCAAGGAGCTACAATGGTTGATTGACTTTTCTTAATCCAGACATTTTTATGTTCTGTTCAGTCACTGATAAAATCCCCTTATGGAAAAACAGTGAATCATGAAATCTTCAAACTCAGAGATGGATATGGAGGCTTGTTATTCTGCTCAGCTCTAACCCAACAAAATTGGTCTGGGAGACGACTATCTGCAGCAGTGGGTAATGACTGGAGTATTGCAGATACTTAAAAAGCTCAGAGAAACCAAGGCAAGCTTCGTTTCAACAGTAAGACCCCACCTACCCGTGGATCTAAACTGCGCAACCTCTGCCGTTTTAGTAATATTTGATTCCACTGGTCCTCATAAGGATCGGCGATCAGTGTATGTCTATTGTAGGATCGAAGCTAAAAGAAAAAGCAGAGATTACTCACTGAGACACGCAGCATTAAGGGACACAATTTGCAGACAAGAGTTTCATTCCGTCAGTTCACGATAGAGACCAATGCAGAACAGGAAAGCTAGCTGTACAGTAAATAACAATTACCTGGCTGAACAAACTAACCTGGTGCAGTGAGTGAGTAAGCTTTAGCAAATAGGAATTAGGAGCAGAAGTGGGCCATTCAGCCACTCCGTCGTTCAACATGGTCACGGTTGATTCTCTGACTCAACGCTGCACTCCTGCGTTCTCCCCATATTCCTCAACATTCCTAGCCTTTAGAAATCTATTTCTTTCAGAAACATATTCTGTAAATACTGAACAATAACTGGAGTTGGTGAATAACCTTTAGCCTGAACAGCGGTGGTAGTTAGTAACCTTTACTCTGAAAGATTACTGCAATTAGTAAGTAACAGTGCGTAACAATGTAGTTAGTAAACTTTAGCCCAAACAGCAACTGTACAGTGAGTAACATCTACCCAGAGCAGATTCATACCCGTTGTCTTGTTTTCTGGAGATTCTCACGAAGTATTTTTCGGACTTCCTCTTCTCTTTCTTTTGAAAGTGTAGGCAGTAGTCGTTCCGTAAGTGTATCCTTCCTCTGGACATGCCTAGTAAACGTTGTTTGAACCACACACCATTCATTTCAGCAATAATGTTTGGAGAACCCATATGGCCCCTTTATATTTGCATAATCCACAGAAGCAGCTTTCATATGCAACACAAAACTTGTGACTGGTCAGAATTATAGACTGGGAGTAAAGGAATACTGCCCAAAATTACCCCTCTGTTTCAATAAGGATGAAACATTTTAAATTAAAACGTTTTAGTTCTTTCAATTATGTAACAACTTCTCAATAACATGACTAAACCAAGTATTTGATAAAGATTCAGCTTTTCTCTCTTTTTGCTGCCCTCTTTCCCTTTCCTTTTGCCAATGATCCAATTTCTCTTCCCACTAGGCCCCCACTTCTTCCATTGCTTTCTCTTCACTTCCTGTCTCACCTGCGCACTCTCCATACGCGACCCCGAAATTCCCTCTCTTCCCTCTAGCATCCTCACCTTTATGCCCCTCACCTCCCACAGACCCTCTGAATTTCCTCTCTATTACAGTTACTTACTGTATAGACACTGATGACGGAAGCTTGGGTAGGCCACCACTTACAACCATCTCGATTGCATTTTTCATTTCCATTTTGTGGTAAAATGCGATCAGCTGTGGCTCTTTCGATCTTTCCCCAGTAATTAAACATTTCTTAACGTACTTTTTATTAAAGCGGTTCAGCCTGAAAGAGAACTTACAATTATTTCAAAATGATTGGTGTGTGTGTGTGTGTCCAGAGACAGATGTCTGTCCAGCTATCACCTAAACACTCTATGTTTCACAGCCTGGAGTATCTACATGCGTAGCTTCATTCAAATTACACCAGCTTGTCACCCTGCTCCCTACAGCATGTGCAGCATGAGTTATACATGACTTCTCTGGGTAAGCAAGCCTCTATGGCCCTTGTTAGACGAATTGGAACCAGGGAATGGACCGTCCATTCACCCTTTGTGCTTAGAAAGGAGGTATGGAGACACCAATACCACATGTAAATGGTTAAGTGCTACATTGTAAGGTTTCCTTTGGCCCAGCTTAGATTCCAGGTCCAACTTTCCTGAGTTTTGAGTGTTTTGTTACTAAAGATTGTATACAGAGTTGTTTTGTGATATATCTTAAAACCAGGGCCTGATCACTCATTAAATTAATTGAACGAAAATAAATATGTCTCAAACCAGCTGGATAACCCCAACGTTAAATACATTTAAGTGGTGTAGTGATGGTCCAAGCCCTGATAACTGAGAAATAACTTCTGTAACCCGACTCACTTGTCCTTCCAGTGGTGATGTCCATAGTGTCCACATACATCTTCAATACCAGTCAGTAAATGATCCAGGAACTGAGAAAAGAAACATCTTTAGTGGTTGACTGGAAATACTGTGCTGGGTTGAAAAACTGCTATGTTTACGTCAGATTTATTGAATCGTGTTTCATAGCACAGCACAAGAGGTGCAGCATTATCCCACTGTTGCTTCAAGCACCTCTCCACTTATTCCTATGTCTTACAATTACCTGTGCTTTTAAACTGGTTCTGAAAATAACAATAAAAATGAACCAATTTTTAAAAACATTTAACAGTAATTGATAATTATGATTTTGATTATTTTACTTCTCACTATCATTGACAAGGCTTCATGCTATCTCAGTAACTGCAGACACAAATACAAAACTAAAATACCACAGATGTTGGAAATCTGAAATAAAGACAAATGCTGTAAATATTTGGCAGTATTTCCTTCATTATTTCTGCCAGGCACAGCTTGATGTCACCAAACACATCTTGCCCCTCCTTCCCTTTCAGGATTCCAAAGGGATCATTCACTCTGACACCACTCCACTGGTTTGAGAACAGCTTCTTCCCCGCTGTTATTGGGGATCTCTCTTATATTAGAGCTAATCTTTCTCACCACCTTCTCTGCAGCAGTAACATTATATTCTGCATTCTATTCCATTACTCTGACATACTTATGTAAGGTATGATTCGTCTCGTTAGTACACAAAACACGACTTTTTGCTGTATCTCAGTACAAGAGACAATAATAAATTAAATTCCTCAGTCATTCCTAATACAGCAATGTCATCATTTCATTTAAACACGAGATGAAAACATGCCCTTTCGTTGCCTCTCTTCTCACCAGTGAAGGTCCTGAACATTTCTTCCACGTGAAGCAGAGATCTACTTCTACTTCTTTCAATTTAGTACACTGTACTCATTTTTCACAATGTGATCTCAACTACATTAGGAGATCAAATGTTGACTGGGTAACCTCTTTGTTGAACACTTCCATTCAGTTTACAAAAATAATCTTAAACTTCTGGATGCTTATCAATTTAATCACCACCTTGTTCCTACACAGATTTCTGTCCATGACCTGCTGTTCCAGTGAAGTTCAATGTAAGCTTGGAGAACAATGCCATAGCTTTCAAATCAGGCACTCTACACAGCTTTCTGGACCTAACAATGAATTCAATAACCCGAGAACAACATGAATTTTATTTTTGTTTTGTCTTGGTTATCTCAGTCTTAACTTTTCTTTCCATTCAAATCGTGTTCAGGTGGTTGCTAAGTTATTCATGCATCATCTTTACACAGCACTTGTTTTTGTACTATACCAATTACCATTATCTTTGGCTGTTGCATCATGAAATCTTTTATTTAATCTCTCCTGTCCTCTACCCAATCAATGACCTTCCCTTCTGCTCTTCCTACACTCTTCTCCCTTTCAATGCCTTACTGTTACATTTCTATTTTTCCTCAGTTCTGATGAAAATTCACCTTAACATGACATGTTAATGCTATTTCTCTGCACAGATACTTCCTCACCTGAGTATTTCCAGCATGTCCTGTTTTCGCTACTGCAGACACAACACTGTACAGTACACTGTACAGAAAATGAACCTGAATGCATAAGGTTTTATTGCTAAGGGTGTGTTAACAAAAATGAGAACGAAAACAACTGACAAGGGACAGGAACAAAAACAGAAATTGCTGGAAAGTCTCAGCAGGTCCAGCGGCATCTGTGGAGAGAAAAGAAAATAAAAGAAATTCCTAGTCCCAAAACATTAACTCTGCTTTCTCTCCACAGATGCTGCCAGACTGCTGAGCTTTTTCAGCAATTTCTTTGGGTTTTTTGACAGCGGATACAGTATACCACATTAGCAGATGTGCAGGTGAACATCTGCTTGATGTGGAAGGTCTTCTTGGGGCCTGGGATGGGGGTGAGGGAGGAGGTGTAGGGGCAGGTGTAGCACTTCCTGCAGTTGCAGGGAAAAGTGCCGGGGGGTGGTGGGGCTGGTGGGGAGTGTGGAATGTTTGTATGTCAGAGGGAGGTTAAAATGAAAGCCCTGTATGAGATCATGTTCGTATGTATGAGCATTCGTAAGTTGGACATTCATAAAACAGAGATCCTTTGCACATATTTAGCAGTCTAACTTTTCCTTTGTAACTATTTTACTTAATTCCATTGGAACCCAATTTAAATGGAGGGTTCCACACTAGAGGAATTGCCCAATGGAAAATTAAACCTCCTGGGAAATTCCTTTGGAGTATACTACAATGATATTCTGCAGGGTGTCATGTGCAGCTGTCATTGTACCTTGAATAAAAGCCATCGACCAATTGGTAAATCTGGACCAATATGTTTAAGATCAGCCTCCAGTGACCTGTCTTATTTATTTGTTCACTTCTTACAAGGCTAGCAATTTGTTACCCACCCCTTCTTGCCCTTAAGAAAGTAGTGTTAAGTAGCCTATTTGAACTTTTGCAATCCATAACGTGTAGGTCCACTTAAATACAGATAGGAAAAGGGTTTGAGATTCTTAACCCAGTACCAGTGAAGGAATGACAATGTAGTTCCAAGTTGGGAGAGAATGGTTAGGGTTAGGGATGGTGGGTGACCCTCAGATGTTGATATTCCCATGCATTTGCTACCCTTGTCCCACAAGTAATAGGGGTCACATGTTCAGAAGGAGCCACAGTGAGTTGCTGCAGTATTGAGTACGATCAAGGCTAAGACTGATAGATGTCTGGATTCTAAAGGAATCAAGAGATGAGAGGACCTGGCATCAAAGTGGAATAGAGGCTGACAGGTCAGTACATTTTTGAATACCAAAGGAACAGAGGTATATGGAGACAGCATGGAAAAATGTAGTTGAGATTAAAAATATTAATTTATAGACATACAAGTTCAAAATAAGTAATATGGCTCCTTAAACCTTCTCTGACAATCATTAAGATCATGGGTCATTTATTTGTGCTTAAATTCCACATTCCCATTTATTCCTGGTTGTCTTTGATTTCATTGTCTAAGAAAAATCTCCATTTCCACCTTAAAACTATTCAATTACCATGCCTTTACAGCCTTCTGAGACACAGAGTCCCAAAGTTCCAAATCCTCAGAAGAAAATTCTCCTCACCTCTGTCCAAAACAATGATCCCCAAATTTAGAACAGTACTCCCTTGTTCTGGCTTCATCCCAAGAGGAAATGTCCTTTCCACATTCACCTTTTTAAAACCAATCAGCACTTTATACTGTTCAATCAAGTCACCCTTATTCTTCTAAACTTCAGTGAAAACAAACTTGGACGGTCCAACCTTTCCTCATAAGAAAACCTGCTCATTCCCGGTATCAATTTCGTGAATCTTTTCTCAACGCCTCCAAAACACCTACATCATCTTCTAAAGGAGGACACTATAATTTTACACCATATCCAATCTGTGGTCTTACAATGTCTTCTATGAGTGAGGCACAACATCCTTACTTCTATGTCTAATTCATCTTGTTATAATGCATTGCATTCTATTAGCATTAAACAAAAAAAAAAACAGCCAAAGAATTGTGGATGCTGGAAATCAAAAACAAAAGCAAAAATTGTTGGAAAACCTCAGCAGATCTGGCAGCATCTGTGCAAAGAAAACAAAATTAACATTTTGGGTCCAGTGACCCTTCCTCAGAACTCAAGAAGAATGGTCTAAGGAAGGGTCACCGGACCAAAATGTTAATTCTGCTTTCTCTCCACAGATGCTGCCAAACCTGCTGAGTTTGGCAAGCAATTTCTGGTTTTGTTTGATCAGTCTTCCTGACTACTTTTTACGCTGGCATATTAACTTATTGAGACTCATGCATTCAAACACCTGGATGGTTCTCCATGCACCTTGGAATTCTGCAAGCATTTAAGTAATTTTTTTATTCTTCCATAGTGAAGACAGAAGCAAAATATCTGTTATTTTCATTCATTTCCTTATTATCCACTATTAACACCCTATCTCATTAGATAACTTTATGACTTGATTTATACTTTTCCTTTTTAGATACATATAAAAAAATTATGCTGTCACTTTTACATCCCTAGCTAGCTTCCTCTCACTCTTTAATTTCTTCCCCCGAATATTAACCTTTTAGTCATTCTACTCTGTTCTTTATATTTGATCAATATTCTGACCTGCCATTTGCCTTTGTGCAATTATATATTTGGTGCTTTCCTTAACTTCTTTAGTTAACCACAGACAGTGGGAAATATTCTTTATTGTATGAATACAGTTATTCCCAGTATTCTGAAATATCCTGTTAAATGTCTGCCACTTCTTCTCTATTGCGTATTGTACTATTGGAATACTGCATACAATTCTGATCGCGCTGCTATAGGAAGGATGTTATTAAACTGAATTAAAGATTTACAAGAATGTCATCGAGACTGGCGGGTTTGAGTTTTAAGGAGCCTGGAACTTTTTCCCCTGGCAGGTAGGAAGCTGAGGGGTGACCTGATAAAGGTTTAAAGCATCATGATAAGGTGAATAGCCAGGGTCTTTTCCCCAGGGTACGGGAGTCCAAGACTAGACAGCATAGGTTTAAGGTGAGAGGGTAAAGATTTAAAAGGGACCTAAGGGGCAACTTTTTCACAGAGGATGGTGCATATATGGAACGAGCTGCCAGAGGAAGTGGTTGAGGCAAGTACAAACATAACATTTAACAGACATTTAGACAGGCACATGGATAAGAAAGGTAGGGATGGATATTGGTCAAATGCAGGCAAATGGGACTAGTTCAGTTTAGGAAACCAGGTCGGCATAGATGAGTTGGCTGAAGGGTCTGTTTCTATGCTGTGTGACTTTTATCTATCTCCTAGCCTAATATCCCAGTTCATTTCAGCTAGATCAGCTTTCAAGCCAACATAAGTGCCCTTATTCAAGTTTAACATCTAGTGTTAATTTCTCATCCAATCTACCATTGCCAATCTAATTTATCCAGTTTATACGGGATTATAGTAACCCCTCATTATTGCCAACTTGATTCATAAGCAACCAATACTCCTTCTTGCATATATTATGTTATTATTAAG